AATGGCAACAGATATGAAGTATCGATGTATAAAGTAATTATATAGAAATATGTAATAGAGTTTTTTTCATTCGTTGTATTCGATCATCATTTGAAACTAAAAATAATTTTTTGAGAACAGTGTTCAAGAACAAAAACAAGTATACTTACAACAGCGTAACGATAAAAAAAATTGAGAGAATTTTTGTCGAAAAACCAATAACATTGCACATATAAACTGAACTTCATTAGACCAGTGTAACATATTCAAAATCGGTTTTTCTTAAATTTTATACAAGAGAAAATTTGTTATGTAAAAGAAATCACTTTCATATCTAAAGTCATCGCTTTTATTTGTCTAGGACTTTCTTTAATGCACGTTTATATTTAATTGCACCTATATGCAGATATCGGTGCTATCAGTACAGGACTAAGTCAATCAAGTATTGATAAATACTATTTATGAGTAATTAAAGAAATGAGTTAACGAAATACATTGTTCTAGCTTTGAAAATGGCATCTGTAGTGTTTTATAATGAGAATATCCATCTATCAATACTTAATAAGATGACTTCAATGTTGTCTTGATTTTCTTAAAATATACGAAATAGAGTAATAGATATATTGATAATAAATTCTAATAGTATCCAATTTGCTATTAAAAAATATTTTTTCCGCAGTAATTATGTGTTGAACTTGATATCTAACTCAAAAGACTGAAGAAGTTCATGAATGTGAAAGAAATCTATAATGATGTTTGGTTTTGTTTTGTGAGCTTTACTGAACTCATCATTGCATGTCGACTAATAAAGAGCGGAAATTTTCAGCAGAACATTATTATTTAAAATTTATATACGGAATTCGCTTTTATAGATTAGTCTGTTTCTATACGTACTGCAACAGCTTTTGTGTTTGAATAATTTGATTAAATAAAATTCGAAGTGAAAATTACTTGAGTGTATCTCTTTCGTTAAAATTTAGTTTTTAAATAGCTTTTAAAATATGTTTCTGTTGTTTCTTTACACACTCCATATTAAACTTTTAACGAAAAATAACTATGAAGATTCTTCGATGATATCTGATCACAAATTATATAAACTATCATTCAACGTATGAAACTCATATACACCTTATCAATTGAATTAATATTTATATAATCTATTAATCGATTCTCAATTTTTCTTTGAGCAAGTGACATATCTAATATAAAATAATAAATCATAATTTTTTGTAATTTTGTCTTATAATTACATTTTGTTTCAAGGTGTTCTCATTCTGATTGGTCATCCATTGTGTACCTTGGGTGAAATAGCACATACACAAAGACTTGAATGGATGAACATAAATTCTCAATTTGAACATATATTTTAATAAAAAAAAAAAGTTTTTTTTTTCTTTTAATAAGCAAATCTTTCTACTGAAATTCTTATGACACGTACAAACACTAATATTGAACATTCACCATCTTGTACATCATCTTCATCCTCGTCCGCTATAGCACAATCATCATCAACTGAACCAAAAGATATTATAAATCAAAATGAATTAACAATACAAAAACTTTTACTTGAATTACAAGATGATCTTAAACAAACGAAAGATTGTTATAATACAAGCCGTGATTCATGGCTTTCAATTGAACAAAAATCTTCAACATCATCGGATGAAAATACAAATTCACAATTAATAAAAACTAATTTTACACAAGCACTTACAAATGTTCAAAATGAAATTGATATGTATAAAAACACTTTATCAAAAATTTCTCAAATTCGTCAATTACAAATTGATATTGCTAATGTTACTAAAAATCATATTGATATTCATCGTAGTCATACAACACGAAGAGGTTTAGCTGATCTTCTTTCACATATGGCTTATGTTTTAAAAATTTGGTATGGAAATGAACATACAGGAAATTGTTCCAATAGAGTAAGTTTAACAAACATTCATCTTGAAAATTTATTTCAATAGACTCTCAAATGTAGTGTGGCGTAATTCAGATGAGGAAGCTAAGCCTCGATGCTGTCGCCGTAGTCCTGGTGGCAAGAACAATCTTAATCTGATATAATTATCAGATTATTATAATAAAACATTTTAATTCTATATTCGGATAGAAGTCAGATAAGGTAAAATAGTAAAAAATGATTATCGAAGCGGAATATCAATTTAATGAAAATTCTAACATTGTAAGAAAATAATTCATTCACGAAAGTCTGTAATAGAGTAAATTGAATTTATTACCATAATTTGTAATTTTACACAAAATCTGATAAGCAACCAAAGAAATTCTTTCCATAATATGATGAACTCTTCTATTTTTTTTTTTATTCAAGTGGTCGAACCTTATTTGAAATGCATAAAAATTATTTAATATATATAATTATTATTATAGCATTTATTCTATTAGACTATGTAAAAGAAATAAAAAATCACATTTTATTTAATTAAAATATTCGAATAAGACTTTGAAAATGATTTCTTTTTTATAGGGTGATAGTCCACCACCATTATGTGGTGCTATACCAGCTGCATCTAATCATGTATGTAACGTTGGTGATCTTATAGCAGGTTTTGTTGAAAGTGATGATGGTGACGAAAATTGGATATTAGCTGAAGTTGCTTATGTACATCCAAATAAAACAAAATATGATATTGTTGACATTGATGCTGAACCAGGTAAAGGACATTATTATAATATAAATAAACGACATATTATACCATTACCACAATGGCGTGCTTGTCCATTAACATGTCCTCAAGCATTATTTCCACGACGTACTATTGTACTGGCACTTTATCCTCAAACATCATGTTTTTATAAAGGCATTATAGAAAGTATACCAAGAATAGGAAAAGATTCTTATAGTATAATATTTGAAGATTCATCTTATAATAGTGGTTATTCACCCGAATTTGATGTACCACAAATGTTTGTTATTGCTTATAAAGATATAAAAAAATAATTCGTATGTTTTCTTAATTTAATGTTATTTGTTGTCTTTTTTTTTTTTGTTTATTGTTGAATAACAAAATTTGAATAGATTAGCACTTTTTCTTGTCTTATCGAACTTGTTTAATCATAGATATTATCGTGAATTGATGTTTTCGTCTTTGTTTTTGTTTGAATACTATTACAAATGATATTTATGTGAAGAGTTCAAACATTGTTTTAACTTGATAATACGAAAGATTATCAAACGAAATAAAAGTTTTTATAATTCTGAAAAAACAAAAGATACTGTTATTTTCTTTCTCTGTTTTATATTCATCTTTCAATATTAATTAAAGAGAATAACTCTTAAAGTTGTATTAATAATTTTCATTAATAACAATCATTCAATGAGTATATTTAATTATCAATTTATAAGTTCGATACAGAATAGTCAATCAAAGTTCTCAAAAAAAAAAAGGAAATAGAAGATAAGATTAATGTGACATTTATTATCGATTTGTTGACAGGAATTTTCTTCCATTCAAATAACTCTATGCAGCATAATGTCATTTTAATCATATGACAGGGAAAATAGTTTGCCTTGAATATAAGAAAGACAAACATGTAAGGTTCTATTTCTTATTAAAGTTGAAAGGAGATAATTAGCATCAATTAATGATGAAAAATCATTCATAAAAAATTAGATTGATATGATAATACTTATTACTAAAAATTTGACGAATGATTTATCAGATACAAATAAAAGTCTATCATCATTATCATGTTTTGTTCTCGATTTAAATTTTATACATTTTATATCATATCAAACATTAATATTTAATTTTAACTTAACTAGTTATATTTTCGATATTTAATAATTTTATGATGCGTTCATGCATTTCCGATCTGAAAATTATTTTTCTTCTATAATAAAATATTCACATGAGAAAATCTGTCTATTCAAATTATATATTCATAAACTTTAAATATCGGTAGATGAATCTTTTGAAAATAGATTCTTGTTAAAACGATTTGAATTCATAAAGCTGCTTTCAGGGTATGTATCGAACGAATAGAAAATATTAGTTGATTTACAAGTATATAAGGTTAATAAAATATGCAAAGTTGTTTATACAAAGAAAAACAAACACATTATTCTTTAATAAAAGTTCGTGTTAAGATATGAATAAAGCCTTATATATTGTCGTAGACTTGAACAGGAAAGTAGAAATGAATAATGTAAAAAGAAAAAAAGCCATTGCAAATTGTATGTACACGTAAAGAAAACTTATATTGAACGGCTATTACGTTCATAACTAATGGCAAAATGTTTCAAATAATTATGACAAAATCAAGAAAAGAAAGACGTACTCGGTACTTTTTTTTTCTTTAGAAAAATCTTCTTTTTCTATTTTGTTTCAGGCAAACAATGAATCAATTACATTAAATTCAATTTGAAAAAAAAGAAGAAGAAGACAAAGGATAATAAAGATAATGAAAAAATTTATCTGATTCAATCTCAAATCGTTCTGATTGTAGTTCATCCACTTTATTATCAAGCAATTCTTGTTCGTCTATTAACAATAGTCATAGTTCAAGTGACGACAATGATGATGACAAAAAATGTCATCATTAGTTATGAATAAAGAATGATTATTATAAAAAAAAAAAAAACAATAGGCTAAATATAATCAATAAACCCAAAAATTATTTTTTTATTTGATATTATTCGAATGTAAATATGTGTAAAAAGATATTTCTTTTTTTCTTTGTATCGCTGTCAAAATAATTGTAGGTTTTATAATGCATAAATAAAAATTGAATAATGGATCATAGCAGAAACAGAAGAAAAAAAGGAAACACTATTTCTTTTTATATGTGCATCTTGGGGGTGATTCACATCCGTTTAGACACCCATTGGATGAGCTATCATGCAAGAAAGAAAAGCGGAATTGTTTCGGGCTAGGCTATTTTCGCTGCCTAATAGGATTTTTCTTTATAGCTGACGTTGATTTTTCTATATAACTATAAGGTTTAGCTTCGTTGTGTATATGTAATACTGTGTAAGTCAGATGAAAATCGGCTAGATGCGTTCGCGTAATGTAAGCATCATGCTTTCTCTCTCTCTCTCTCTCCCTGTTCTTTTCGCGTCACTTGATTAAGAAGAGAAGGGAGGAGAATGAGTTGTAGAAGACTGTCAGTTCTTCCTCTCTCTCTCTCTCTGTGTTTCCCTGTCTCTGTCTTATTTATTACTTTTCTCGGATTCTCATCTCGTGGCTGGTATTACTTATATACCAAAGAAAATAATAACAAAACCTAGTAGAAATTGGTCTTCATTTTCTATGTCATATACATATACTTATTTGGGTTGTTTTAAGATTATTTTTTCTGTTTGTTATCTAATGGTTCGTTAGATACATATTTGGTAAAATTTAACCTTGAACGGAAGACAAGATAAATGCGTTAGAGCAAAGGAAACCGTGAAGAAAAACAGAAAGCTTATGAATTTTCATTTTTGTTCTGTCATTATCGACGTACACGTGTAAAAGAAACAACAACATAGCATGAACCATCCGGCATTAGCACAGGTAAGCATTCATATCTAATCCGATCTTCTTTTTTTCTGGTACTTTGACTGCTGAGTTACTTATAATATTCTTATTCGTTTTATCCATTGTCGGGGAAATCCATCTATGTCCTATTGACATTTGATTATATCTATGTATCATATAGCAAGCTAGAGATAATATTTGTTGCATTATGACCTTCCATTATATTATTGGAGGCTTGCTGTTTTTCTCTTCTATTTTTATAGAAAAATAAAAGCAAAAAAGAGATTTGTTGATCTTGTAAAATTGATTTATCATTTTGGTTTTGTTTTTGTATTTCGTGTATTGATGTTAATTCACCATTAGTTTGAAGCGATAATCATTATATGTTTCTATCAATGAGATTTTGTAACTAAACAATAACAACTAATTATAGAACAACGTTATAAAATAAATCAATTTTGAATATGTCATGTCACACAATCAATGTTCAATATAAATGAATCAATCGATGAACTATGACAAGAGATAAAAAGGAAACATTGATGAACAAAATAGATCTAATAGAAGAAAATATTGATGAAGGCCATCAGGCACCATATTCGAATGAATGAATCTTTTTTACAAGAAATATATCAAACAAGGATGAGAAAAAGAACAGAAAAAAAAAATATGATAATCGATACATAGATATATGATTTCTTATTACTTTGAATATTAAAAAAAAAGTACGAATAGCAACATGTGGCACATAGCTAAGAGTCGACTTTTTTACTTAGTATTTCAAGATGACGCTAATTGTGTTAATACCAATTATGAAGTTTTTTTCGTCAATTAGATTTGCTTATATTAAAATAAATTTTCTTTCTACTTAGATTGTTCCTCAAGTGGCAGCCATGTCGGATCGAGCAGATAAAATGAAAATGGTGTCTAAATTAGCAATATCACCAGGTCAATTTATATTCAAATAAAAAACTACCGATAAAGTATAAAAAATAAATAAATATTGTTTTTTTTTTTGAAATTTTAGTTGATAGATCAGCATCAAAAATTCAAGCAGCATTTCGTAAACATCAAGCTCGACTTAAACTAAAAAAACAAGCTGCATGGCAAATACATGAAAAACTTGAATATTCTAGTGAACAAACTGAATCTAAAGTAAAACACAATGTTTCTACGTAATGATTATTAATATTTTTTGTTTTTAGCTCAAAGATATGTTTGAAAAGTTACTTAAAGCATCTGATTTACTTTCACCATCTGTGACGAAATTACTTCAGAAAGCTGGATTACCTGTCGGTAAAGTGTCATAGAAAATTTTTAATGTCATAAAAGTTATATATAGGTTAGATCTTGTTTTTTTTTAAATTTTTATCTAGAAGAAAAAGAACTTTTAAGATTAACAAATCCAGATAATATTCGAGTTGAACCAACTTATCAAGGACCACGTAATGAATTTTCGAAGATTAAATAATTTAAATGGCTTGACTTATTCTTTTTTTTTGTTCAGGCATAGAAGGACCAATTACACGAAAAATATTTGTTAATTTAATTGAAGCTTTTCAACGTGGTCAAGTATGTAGAAACTATTAAATATTTTTCTTTGTTTCATTTATGCACAATTATTTGTATCTAAAAGAAAATAAAATAAAAAAAAAAAACTATAATTATAATGCATAACGTCAAATTATTGGGTTTCTTTCTATTAATCTGTTGTACTTTTCTAAATAAATCATTTAACTAATTAGAATAATTATAGGTATTCATGCTGTGATTTAGTTAGCATATTTAGCTATAATGACCTAAACAAAATGTCAAAAAGAACAATAATGATTTTCTAATATTTTTATGTAGAATTCTTATAATCTTAGAATAAATAATGTTATTTTATTTCAATATTTTTTCTATTAATTGAATTGATTGTCAAGAATAATTTTTGTCTATCCTTTATTAATTTTCTAAAATGTTTGTCTTATTCTTTCTATCAAGTGTACTAAAAATGAGGGATGTAAATCACCATCTGTCAATTGTTTTGATTTTTATCTATTTTCCTATAAAAAAGTTTGTTCTTTTTCTTCTCACAGATTTTACATGAAAAATATGTCTGTGAAATTCTTCATCAAGCACGTGCTATTCTTAAAACTTTACCAAATTTTAATCATGTTGATTTATCACATTTACGACATGTATTTATTGTTGGTGATCTACATGGACAGTTAGCTGATTTATTACATATATTTAATTCGGTAGAGAAAAAAAATTGTTTTATTATTATTATTCGTTTGAAAAATAATAACAATTCTTTTTTTTTTGTTTTGAAAATTTATTAAATAGAATGGACTTCCTTCAATTGACAATGCATATGTATTCAATGGAGATTTTGTTGATCGAGGTCGAAATTCAGTTGAAGTTTTACTTTTACTTCTTGTTGCACTTATACTTTATCCAAGTTCAGTATTTCTTAATCGAGGTATTGTTTTAATTTGGTTTTGTTTGTTCGAATATTTGTTTTTTTTTTTATTCGAAAAACTAAATAGGTAATCATGAAGATATTATGGTTACTGTTCGATATGGTTTTTATAATGAAGTTAATCAAAAATATCGAGTTAGTTACTATGAATTCTTTTGCTTTTGAAACTATAAAAATGTATTAATAAATTATATTTAGACACGTAAAGCACCATTAATTGATCTATTTAAAGATATATTTAGTTGGCTACCACTTTATTCTTATGTTGATGCTGGAAGATGTAAAATAATTATAATGCATGGTGGAATATCAGATAAAATTAATTTAAAACAATTAAATCATTTATCAAGGAATAGATGTATGCTTGAAAAAGAATTAATAAATATTTTACAAAGGTAGAGCTTTTTTGTTTTCCTTATTTCAGATATTTCAATAGAAGTATCACCACAATCTAAAACTGGTGGAAAAAGATTAACAGAAGAAGAGGATAATGAATATCATCAAATACAAGGTATAAATTATAGGTTAATGCAATTTTTGAATGAGGATTTTAGTTAATTTAGTCTTTGTAAGAGAATAATTAGTGTAGAATACGATGAATGACTATACTTTGGTTTTGTTCGAAATTCTTTTTGAAAAAACGTCGCCCATTGAAGAACGATTACTTAATATTCATTTGAAATAATATCTGAAGTGGAAAAAACAGCATGCATTTAAGCATTCTTTGTCATGTATATGAATTTTCTTGTCTTGGTACATTTCCTATCTTTTCGGTAAAAATAAATGAAAAAGAATCCAATTTGAGATATGCTTATATAAATAAAGTGTGAAATCTATTGTCTTGTTAAACTTTCTAAATATTTTATCCTTCTTAGGTTGCTATGTTCGTAGCTCAAAGTTTTTTCTGCGTATTTTACTCCATATATTTTCTATAGTAACACAGAATATACATGTTTTATGGTATGTTAATCATGGATGCATATTATTTATTATTTACTAGTAACCAAATATGTAGAGATAAAAATAGAGATCAATTTTCTGCTTCACTCAATGCATGAACTAAAATAGAAACATTTTTCTTCAACTATCATACTAAGTATGAATAGTCATTAAGTACGAAATTGAACTCGTAATTTATTTTATTATGAAATAGAAAGTACAATTTGTTTGCTCAATAGGATATATGTTAAAATAGACTCTCAAATTTCGGAAATCGTTATTATAAGCTAATTTATTCCGCTTGAAAATCTAGTGCATTTTAAAAGTAATCTGAATATATACAGGATGAGACAAATAACTACATGATACAATATTGAAACTACTGCACGCTATGTAAATCAAATGAACTGCCTTTTTTTTCAAGGGTTTTATTCCTAAAACCAGAAATACTTCTTTGAACTAACACCGATAACTTCAAGAAAGATTTTTGGGTTTTTACAGGTGCGAAAAAATTTTCACGTATAATTTGTTCTCAAATTGATTTGTCTCAAGCAAACAATAATAATATTTCCAGTATGATTTCATTTAAGTAAAATTAAATATATCTGAGACAAGGTTACAAATCTTTCTTGAAGCTAACAGTATTACTTCACAGTAATATTTCTTGACACTGTTTCTAAGAATAAAATATTCAAACAATCTTCTATCACTAACAAAAAAAAAGAATATCTGACTATCTGATTAACACAGAATGTAAATATTCAAATTTTTTATTGTATTATTATTTATGATCGATTCTCTATTTGCAAATTGCTATGTATATAATTGAGATTTAATCGAAGATCAGTGTAAATAAAATTATTTGAAAATTTTTTGTATGTCTGTAGATGAGTACATTTCAACAAACAATACCTGATAATTACTTGAGAGAATTGTACTACAAGAACTGTTAGAAATTTCATTTTCAATAAATTTGGATTGAATATATAATTAAAAATATACATCATGTTTTGTTTAGTTTACTCTTCTTAATTTTTGTATAATAAACAAAAAAAAACAGAGTTAACTCAAGATATTCAGACGATTTCTTTTTATATCTAATTAATAGATTTATTTTGGAGTGATCCGGATCCTCGTGGTCGTAAAGGTTGTCGGAAAAATGAAGACCGAAAAATGGCTTGTTTTTTTGGTTCGGATATAACTCAACAATTTCTTAAAAAATATAATTTATCTATGTTAATACGTTCTCATCAAGTGAAGCAAGATGGTTATGAATTTGCACATGATGGTAAAGTTCTAACTGTCTTTAGTGCATCAAATTATTGTGGTGGTTCTAATTGGGGCGCTGTTGTACGATGGTTTGTTCTAAATGATAAAATATAAAAATTGAATTTTTTTATATAAAATCACTTTTTAGGGATTTTAATGAAGAAGAACCATGGATTATTTCATTTAAAACTCAAGCTGTTGAAATGGAAAAATTAAGTTTTAGTAAACAGTAAGATATTTGATGATTCGATAAAAATAGTTGAACACATTTAAAATTTTCTTCACTTGTTTTTCTAAAGAGTCACCTTATTCGAAGATCCAGTTTATCGTTCATTAATTGAGAAAATTATGACAAATAAAACTTCACTACTTAAACGGTTTGAAAAAGCAGATAAGAATAAAACTGGTAATCGTTATTTTGTTGTATTCAACTGTTTGTTTTTCAGAGTATATATTTTTTTAATTAGATCATTTGCCATTAACTACTTGGGGTGATATTATGTCTGATGTTCTTCAAGTGGATTTACCATGGCTTATATTACGTTCAAAATTAGTTCAAGAAGATGAAAAAGGAATTTTATATAAAACTATGTTTAATGATTATATTTTAGATAATTCTAAATTTCAAATGGTATGTAGTTGATTAATTATTTCGAATATATTTAAAATTTTTTTTTCTAATTTTTTAGTCAAATGCAGGTATTATGGAAGATTTATATATGTGGAAAGATATGCTTTTAGCCTTATTTAATTTAATTGATTATAATCATTCAGGTTTTGTTACATATAAAATATTTTCTTCTGATTGATAAAAAGTTTTTTTTCTTAGGTTTTATAAGTCGTAATGAATTTGCTGATATTATTAAACTTATACTTTATGGCGAGAATGGTACTGGTGATGTTAATGAAGCATATGTTGAGGAATTGACATCTGCCATGGATTTTGATAAAAATGGAAAAATTGATTTCAATGAATTTCTAGGTAAATTATTGTATAAAAATGATCATTAGATTTAAAAATATGAGATTAGAGTTCGAATTCATCTTTGCTCGTATTATTTTCAATTTTTACATAGAATACTAACTTAATTAACATCGAATTATTATCTAAATAATATTTTAACCTTGAGATCATTGAGTTCTATACTAAAATTAGCAGTGAAAGTATTTTGATTCTATATAAAAAGATTTCTCTCTAGATGATCTGATAGTAATAACATTAATCTACGTTTCCTCTGATATTTGATCGTCCTTCAACTAATATAATAATAATAAAACTTCGATAAGAGCTGTTTGTTCTTAAACGTGACGGTAATATTAGATTACATAATGCCTCTCTGATGTGGATTCTTTTCTTAATGTTTTTTTTTCTATCGTCCCAAAAAAAGGAATAGGAAAACAAGTTCATCAAGTTTTTACTTGAGCGATTCTTCAGATCGAACATCATATGGTTTTTGGTTATTTGGCTTAATCAAATTAAATCTAAGTAATCAAAATGATTCGGAATCATTGCATCGTACTATCAACAAGTTTATGAATTCTTTGAATAAAGAAGAATATTAAAAAAAAGAAAGCGTTCGATAAATGGATTCAACGAATGCAATTGGGTGTTGCTTCACCATCGCCATTTTTCTATACGTCAATACTAGGTATAGATGACTAGGCATTAGAGAAGACGACAAAAAACAGGAGAACAAACAGAGTACAGTCACGTATCATAACAAACTAAATCTTGCTGAAATTTTATTATTATAATATTAGTCGAAGAATGATGAAATATCACAGAAACGTAGATCATTGTATTTACTGTCAGATCATATAGAGAGAAAGCTTTCTTTAGACTTTTAATAAGGAAATTGATATGCCTCCGCCACAACGTTCTGTATATAAAAAGTAATTAACAACAGTTGAAAATAAGGATGATCTATTTCCTTGAAAGAGTAAAATTTTCAGTTCTATATCATGACGCGTTCATGATATAATCAACAAACAAGGATCAAAAATAGTTCATGTGCTTACATAAAATTCTCTATGGTCCTTTATTCTATGGATTTAGCTTTTTTTAAGGTGTCTGTCAGAACATAGAGCACAGCAGAGCTCTTTTTTTTTCAAATTCTTACTTTTCAAGAGAAGAAAAAGTTAACTGTCTCAAGAAATGATGCTCTAACTATAATCAAAGTACTATTTTATATAAAATAATAAAGCTTCTGTCGTACCCTATATATTGGCATACTTTTTCAACAAAAAAGAAAAGCAAACAATTGCCTACCATGAAGCTTTTGCGAGGATTCTGAGAGGTGCAATCAAAGAAGTATAAATAGAGATGAAGCGAAAAACATTTTCCATTTTTTCTGCATAGACCATGTTTTTTAAACGATGATGACAGATATCATCACAAATTTTGGCAAAGAAGGATGTGCCAAGTAAGACAAATGTGTCATTTATGAAGGATCAGACATCAAGCTATCATCCTATGTATTTATCTTAATTTTCATTTTGTTGACGAAAATTGTTTTTTATCTGAAGGAAGGGGCTTAACATATATTCGCTGATATCTCCAGAACTATGTGTTTACAAATCATTATTTTTAAACAATATGTCATAATCTTTGCATACAAAGAATTCTATTTTTCAAGTCAAGTTTTGTATTTAAAAATCAATTTGATAACTTCCTTAGCATATCGCACCATCTAAGTTGATTGGACTGATTAAGTCCTATAAGTAGTTGAAATATTCATAAGAATAGTTATTTTTATTCACAAGTGTAACTCAATAAGATATGCCACTTATTTTTATAATTTCAATTAATTTATTTCTAATTATAGAAAGTTTTCGAATTGTGAATGTAAAAAAAAATCCAAGTTCAACGAAAAAAAGTAATACTAAAAATAAAACTTCTGGATTAAATGGAACAATTACTGAAGAAATACGTGTATAATACACATAAGATAACAAAATTATGTGCAAAAAAAAAATATTCATTCCTAAGATTGATTAAATGTAGACATATTAGCTTTGAATATTTCTCTATATGTATTGTATTGTTGTCTTTTGTGTATGTTTTTACATGTAAAAAACAAATGTATTTTTTTCCTCATTTTTTTCATGAATTTAAATTATGAAATAGAAATGATATGAATTTCTTTTGCAATAAAAAAACAAAACAAAACAAAACAAAAGTAATTCGATGTGTACTGATGAAATATTAAAGAATATGTTTTTGATACTTGATATTTTACATGTTAAAGGAAATGTAACTTGTCAAGAAAATATTCTTATAAATTATAAAATAATTGAACTATTTTCTATTTTCATCATCAAATGTCGTGAAGTATTTTTGTGAAATAAGATATTAATCTGCGACTTTGTTCTGTAGAAAAGACAATCCTCGATCATGAATGAAATTGATGACACTATTTTCTAATTCTCGTTTTGATAATGAATCATAAATATATCTAGGGATCACTTCTATATCTGATAACATCTCTTTATTGATGAAATTTTATAATATTAAACCTATCATGAAAAACAATATAAAGATTTTCAATGATTCTTTTTCAAAATGATTTGCGCAGTTTTACAATTTCATTTTCTTCACTTTTTTAAATAAACTAGAAATTAGACTTCTTTTTTTAATTTGAAATGGCTCATTTGTGAAAGATTGAGCCATTTTTCATCTTCATCTATTTAATTAATTGGAAAAAAGATCATAGGCAATACGTAAAGTACATAATCAATTTCTTAACGATCTTATATTTCTTCCTCAGAATGGTAATCAAATCTTCATTGATTATCGTAAAGCTTAGTAGAGGTAGGGTATATTTTCATGATTCATGCCAAAGACGAGACGATGTGTTATCTTGCGTTTGATAGTGAACTAATCTGTTGAAAATAAAAGAAAAAAAACCATATCAAAACTGTTCTAAACAAAATCCAAATATGTAGTTCAGATATCTTCGTTATGGTTCACTATTCTCTATTTTATATATTTTTACATTTCCAATATAAGTGTCTTTCTTGTTTTTACTGGCCCTTATGTCATATTCACCTTGTTATTATGAATGGTTTTCCCATTTTCTCTTTCTTTTCTCCCCCATTGGGCGTGGGTGTGGGTGTAGATGTAGTTTTGCATTTTAACGAGTGTGCTTACTTCGTCCACACGCAAACACACACTGGCACTGACACCCTCAAGGCATTGCCATTGAAACGATTCTTCGACTTGTTCATCTTGTTTTGGACAGTCAATATTTTGTCTATAATTATCAACTCTATCAACAGATTGCTGGTGATGCTTCTGATTCACCATTGACGATGCCTTTATCTTATATTTATTTATGTTGTTGAAACCCACTATTGTGGACTATTTTGACTGATAGCATCAAGAAAGCTTTGGAAGGTAACATTATGTATTTCTTTTGAATCAGATCTAGATTTCTTTGAATACGTGAGTTTCACAAATTTCAATGAAGCATTTTTTGCATGATATGTATTACTATATCATGTAGGTACATTATTCGTTAAAGTATTCAATGAGTATCATCATCATTCTTCTATTCACCTTAGTCCTACTCTTGGCACAATAGTTCATTTTAATGATGCTATTTGAGTCATAACAGTGGGCTACTTCATACTGAAGTCTATCATTATTCTGGTGTGAATAAAATAAGTTGATTCAAAATTATTCCTTGTATGCCAGTATGTTCTGATTCAAAATTATTAATACGAAAGCATTTCTTCGTGTAGTACGTTGTTATTTGAATGTAAATGACTTTAATGATGACTTCAACCACATAAATTTGTTCATTATTTCTCATGGTCTTTCAACTGTACTAGTCGATCAATGTATGTAAGAGGTTTTCCTGAACTTTTAAATATCATCTACACTTCTTCTAATTTAAGATTCAAATAGTCAAGAAAATTGTCGTCTTTGTGTTCTCTGAATATTCGTTGCAATCAAATGAGACCCATTTCAAATTAGTACTATATAAAGCTATTCCATCATCATTCAAAGATTATCCTGTTGATAAAAAGTCATCTCATCGTTTCTTCATTTTGTCAGAAAGTGAGATAGGCGATGATAAAAATCAGTACTTAACTATTTTTCATGTTTTTATCAATCGTCGATCATACTTTACCTTAAGTGACGAAGACCACAGCAACAACAACAATTAAGATATTCGTAGTGAAAGCAGTAACATGACTATGTCTTCCAGCAAAAATGATATTGTTTTTTCTTATATGTCGTTCTTCATTTTACCTTCATTATGATAACTTATATACCGTAGAATATTAACCGCTATTTAATCAAACATATAGATTAGAAAACGGCCTTTTCTTCGCTCGTTTTGTATTTTAGACATACATCTATATATTTCGGACAAAACGGTCGTTCAGTGCTGAATAATGGAAGCTACGGACAATCCTGTTGAACTCAACAGTAAAGTTCTCCGAAAAATAATCACTATAAAAGCAACATAAACAGCCAAAAGAATTTATTAAGATATTGCTACAAAACCTTGGTTTTCACATGAATAAGAGAGATCGGTTCAAGAATGTGACCAAAGATCAAGCCGCTAATGGCATCAAATGACGATTTCAGAGTAAATTATCTCGAGTTGATTCTTCTTCTGTTTCTGAAATTCAATCAAATTAGAGATCATAAGCCACCTGCTAAGACTCGTACGTGAGTCGAAACGCGTCGTGATAGTTTCTACATACACCCATATCTTTCTTTATTCTATATTTTATCTTTATTTTATAAACTTGAAGATTGTATCTATATATATTTTATAAAATTAAAATAAAGTAACAACTCTAATAACCAGCCTAAGAGAAAAAATATGTGTTTTATTAACTGATACAAAAAAAATCAATTGATTTGTCGTTGGTTTATGGTGAAAAAATAAAACAGCAAGGTAGTCTTGATATTTAAAAACATCACTCAAAGTCCAATATCTCTACCATAAACAAATCAACGCATAAAACAAATCCTTTTGTGAAACAAGATCTAAAAAGAGTGTTGCGGTGTAGAGGATAGAAATTTGAACCGCTCTCCTTTCACACAGATGTGACGAATGTCTTAGCAGCGTCTCCTCCATTACAGATCGTGACAGGCACAGACGAAAGATCATCGCAGGGCATGAGTGTGGGCTTGTCTCGATCTTCGTTTCACGTACTCTTAACCACACCCACTCTCATGCCCTACGAAGGCTAAAATTGGTTTAGAAATCAACTGATTCAAGACATGACGTCGAATGCAATCGTACGCAAGGCAATCGATTGCTCTGGTCAAATAGGACACTTCTATGATGAATGGCGAGATCGAATTGTAGAATCTCTCAGTATTAATCTGAATATGAAATAGAGTTCTACGTCCTCATCGATAAATTGTATCATAAAAAGTGGCGAGCAGCTTGAAAATCAAAATATTCTTCAACTAACGGATTTTTCTGTTAACTTTCGATTGAGTTTATTATCAAACTTGGTTGCATCAATAGGTATTGCTGCAGTAGTTAATAATCCATTTGGAATCGATGAATATACTCGCATCTTCTACTATTCCTATTTGATTTGAAATAAAGCCTAACTTGACGTGAAAAGTGTGCAAGTTCCATCAATTATGTTATCACTGAACCAGATTCAGGCATTGACGTTGTGGTTCTATTGAGGCTACCGCCTGACGATTCAAAAACAATCGATGATAGTCTCAATCGAATTTGTGAATATTTGAAGTATGGCAAGGAGCAAGTTGATAATGAAAACGTATTGGATAGAACAGTTTCTACATAAGTCTATTCGAATTTGTCTCAGTTACCCACGTAAAAAAAATGCAGACTAAGAATCAAGTTAGAAATTGATTATAATGACACTATTATAATCGATTTTTAATCTGATTCTTCATCCAAATATCTTACATGGGTAGTCAGACATACAAAATAGTTAACGTGTTGTACAAGGAAAGGACGAGTCGCAGTTTCTATAGAAATTGGTCCGATGGAATTTTAATAATTGCTTCGTATAGAAATAAAGAGCATGTTGATAGAAACTATGCCTTATATTTTTAGATGGTTTAACTAGATATTTATAAAGTTAGATTTCCCAGAAAATTTTCAATTTTCTATGCATTATATATGAGAATGCTAATTAGCATATTTTATACGTGTTTCTTGAGACATGTACTTATTACTTAATGCAAATGAAACGAATTATATATCAATAGCTAGCTCTTGAAAAATGCTTCAAAAGACTATATAACAATCGTTTATCGAAAATGTGGAAAAACACTATTATTGAATACTTGCTGACTACCATTAAAATATGACGCTAACACGTGATCGATTGGTATAAAAATCAGAGTGAGCAAACACTACCCCTGTGCATATAGAAGTTTATACCACGCTTTAGTGTCATATTTTAATAGTAATCAGCAAGTATTTCATCAAGAATTTTTTTCTCATACGTTTCAGGTGATTGGTTGTTATTTAGGTTTTTGAAGTATTTTTCATGAGCTATCTATTGGTATATAATTCGTTTCATTTGCATTAAGTAATAAGTACATGTATCAAGGAACACGTATAAAATATGCTAATTAGGAAATAACCTTTATATCATCGTTAAACAGACAATGAACTCGCTTTGCACCGCAGTTCAATGTCAATAAAGAAAAGTTGGTGAAGTAGATGAAAAGATCGTACGATACATAACTTCTTGTTCCACTAACCTTTTCCGCATTATCTGATAGAACTTCGAAATGAGCAAAATATTCAGAGCTTCTTTTGTATCTGCAAAACGCTCAGACTGCAGATCTACCCCAAAATCCAAATTGTTTTTCGTGATCCAACCCGACCCGAGTCGTGCACTGATATCCATAACGTCTTAATGATTAATTCTAAAAATCTGAACCTTGTGCAATTTTGGAGATGTTTCATCGGCGATTTCAATACACACCTGACAATTGAAAATTAGCTGTAAACACCTCAAGGGTAGATTTGTTTTCAAAGTGGTCGATTAAAAGTATCAAAAAAAAGTCATGTGAAAAATTGATGAATTAACGATGAGCTAACGAAACTACAAACAAAACGACATAATAAAAAGTCGATGCTTTATGGAGTCAAAATCAGAAAAAGTACAAATGAGAAGATGTGGATGATTGTAGCTGTAACTGAAGTAAGAGACACGTTCACATGAAAACCGACGCCCACCAACGGCTTTGACTTTCAATAATCAAAATACTGTGAAATTCAAATATTCTATAAATCATTAAAGAGGGATCCATGGAACCAGCAGGTATCAAGCCACTATAGGAGGAACTCAATAGAATAAAAGCATTCTTGAATTGTTTTGCACATTTAACGCATCCATCTATGACATAAGTCCTTCCGAAATTTTAGCGTCTTATATCCTTCTTTTGAAAAGTCAACTAATACCAGTATTTGAACACTAGCATCTCCTACTGAGAAAAAAAACAACAGAAAATATTCTATACAACTTGAAGCCGATTGTGCTTCAATGGATCATTCAAATTTTTTATGAAATATACCAAAAGATAGAATGAAAATCTAAACAACATGATCGCTTTGAATATAATACAATATTTGATACTTCAACTTTTATATGGCCAACAGAAATAAAAAAAGTCTTTATTCACTGGTTCAAAACGTCCACTTACTAACATAGTATTTGCTACTATGTTTCAGAACCAAAGTTTCAAGCTGAGTTGTATATGTATTATGAAACTTTTCATTCTCTACAAAATGGCAAAAGCATACTTGAAAAAATATGGTACGTTATGGTTGTTATGCGTCTCAAATTTCCGTCGTATTTGGTGCAAATGTAACAAAAAATTGTTACAACAACTTGCTGTTCTTAAAAAGAATAATTTTGATAGGTTATCAATTATAGTTAACATATAACATATGTTTTCAATTATTTACAATGATTGAAACTTCCTGCAATGTTATTACCTAAGATGCATTTTGACTATCACAATCTTAATATGCGTTTTCCATTTCAATATTATCGGATGTTATTAAGATGTGAATGATTCAAAAATTGAGTAGTTTTTGTTTTAATATGTTCAAATCATTCGATAGAACTTCACGAGCAATATCGAAAGTCTTCTTTTAGAATGAAAATTACGAACAACTATTAAGAGTGTGGGTGGTGTGTCGGTGTAGGGTGTTGGTGTGGGATATGAGTCTGTTGGCGGAAATGCTGCTCTCTTGTTCTCTCGGACCCACACCCGGCTTCTATACGCACACTCTGGCATTCTCTTCAACATATTAATTGGTTCAGCTACCTTTTCGGCTCTCTTCGATTTAATCGACAATCCCAACGTTGTGCCAGATGAGTATAATCCACAATTGATTGTTCTCACCCACCGCATACATACGAGAGAAAAATTAAGAACCAACCAGTTACTATCGAAATGGTTAATTCATGTTCAAAGTGAGTTACTTCAATAAATCAGAGAAAAAAAAGAATTCTTCGGCAAAAACTACTTGGTTGCATGTGCTCATTCTGAATATACTATTGATTTTTAATAGAAATAGTTTGGAGTTGGAAAACCGAGTGTTTTTGAAAAATTCGTTGTATGGTTCAGAAGCGTTTATTCTAACTGTGGCGACACAGGACACACACCAGAACATTCTGACAATGTTGATTTTCTTAATAACAGCAGTGTTTTCAGGCCAGTTTTTGAATACCGATTGTTTTCATGTACCATTAGATAGAACATGTTTCAATGTATCTTTATCACTATATGATTCGAATGAAAGGGCGCCTTTCGTTTTCCACCTGATATCTGCTTAAGTGCATACTGTGCTAGACATACATCCATACCTTCATATACAATACAGATTTACATTATGGAACTAAAGATAATAGTATTAATTTGTTTTGATTCAAAAAGATGTTGAGAATATCACCATGGACATTGAAAACTTGGAACGTCTAAGAAATTTATCTAACAAGAAGAGTATTCTTATCATAAGTATGTATTTGTTAATTATAAATATCTTATTATCAATCAGTGGTATTCATCCAACAGATTTAATATCTGTCAAGATATTAAACGAATTTCAATTGATCTTTGTCTATCTTCTTAATAATTCAAATCATTTACTTTAACATAAAAAAAAACAATGAATAAAATTTATTTTTCTTTTCTATTATGAAAAAGAATGTTTTTTTAAAAATCAAAGTCACAGTCAATCACAATCGAACTGTGTTCCAAGTTTAAAACAAAACAAAACGAACATTTCTTTTTTACAGTTGTCAAACTAATAACAGAGTATTGTTTTGATCATCATATTTGATAAAAACACATGTTAACAGCATAGGACAAGAAAACAAAAACAATGTTTATAATGGTTCTACTCTTGGTTAATGATAAGCAAGACGACTGTTATAAACATAAGACGAGAGAAAACTCGACTAGAAAAAATGACATGAAAAAAAAACAAATAACATCGGTGCACACAAAAACTAACATTTGTTTCAATGTGCTAGAAACATAAAATAAACAAAACAATGAACTATCATATAAGAGATGGATAGAGCAATTTACGAAGACTATTATGAATCAATTGTTCGACTGTTTGTTGATTAATAACAACATTTAATGTTGTTGTTGTCGTTGTTGTTGTCATAGGTGTTGTTGGTATGGTGAATGAAAGAGGTGATGATGATAAAGTTATCTGTTGTTGCTGTTGCTGTTGACAATAATAGCAATGCTCATGTGCTATAGGATGTGCTTCTACTGGTTGTATTTCAGTAAATCTTAAAAAAACATAATTCTTCATTGAAACTTTTTTTAATTTAATTTTTTTAAATTTTACTTGGCCCGTAATGAATGATTTAAAGGTGATGATGTTGATCTTGATTGATTTCTTTTAACATGTTTAAGTCGTTGACGTCGATTAGCGAACCAAGAACGACACTGTTGAGCTGTTATATTACCTTCTGTCATAAAACGTTTTTTATCTGGTGAACGTGGATAAGGATTATCCAAATTAGCATTATACCTTAATATAAAATAAATGAAAATTAATTAATTAATAAGAATAGCATTCTAATTTATTAACCATTCTTGCATTAATTTAACAGCATGATCAGGCAATTTATGATAAGATTTTGAACGTGATGAAGAAACACGTGGTACAAGTGGTGCCGGTAGTCGTTCATTAATAACTAATGATTGATGTGTTCGAAACTAAAAATATATTATTCATACATAAAACAAGATGTATGCAAAGGATCGCTTCACTCACTGGTGATTCAACATGATGTCTATCATTCATTGTTTGATAGGAAATATTTATATTTGCAGTATGTATTTGTTCTATGATTCCTTGTTGTTCTTGCTCTATAGGTTGTAAATGTGCCTGTTGTTGTTGCTGTTGATTAAAACCATTAAAAATATGTTCTATTTCAAAATAAATTTCATCATCATGTGTTGTTTTTATTATAGTTGATTGATTATTTGGTGCAACAGCATCATCTTGTTGTGATAAACATAATGGTGTAAATGGACTACTTGTTGTTGGTAATGGTGATGTTGATTGAAATGCTGTCCAATCCAACTCACTATGTGAACTACTTGTATCATTTGTGAAAGTTGAATCAGTATTAAAATCAAAAATAAACGAATCCATTACTAAAAATAAATGATCTAATGTTTTAAATGAATAAACAATAGAAGAAACGAGAGAAAATTTTACTTACACATACGACGTGTCTCTTTTGTTTTTCACTGCTCGTTTACGGACATTCCAGTTGTGATCGTGCAATATTTTTTTTTTCTTTCACATGTGATGCACATATGGAAGAGCTTGTTGTACTAATAACATTTTTATCTTGTCAAATATACGTTAACAAGAAGCTTATAAAACGTATTCTTCTTTTCTTTTGATATTCTTTCATTTTCTATGTTTATCCAGGCATTTATTATTTCCAGTTAAGTTTATGTCTAAAGTCCGAGAAATAAGGAGAAAAGAATGAGAGAGAATGACCCATTTCGTTTGGACAAAGACATGCACTCATTAGAAAAACGATCTAAAAGGACAAGTAGTTAAGATTTTTCATAGTTTCAAACAATGATATTTATTTCTACTTTTTTTTATCAATAGAAACACACATATATGAAGAATATCTCTAGCAATAGTATTAGTTTCAAAGTAATATTTCTTGACATTTTTCTTTAAGAATAAAATCTTCGAACAATCTTCTATCATCGATAAAAATAAATATTAGCCCATTTGATTAACAAAAAGTGTAGATATTCAAATTTCTTATCTTATTCCTATTTATATCCTACTCAGTAAACTTATCATATGATTAGTTTTAAGATAAACGCCGAATCGATAAAATATTTAAGCTTTTTATCAAATGTTTGAAAATTAAATTTGAATTAAACGAATGTGCGATAAAAAAAAAGTGGGAAAATAAGGTACCATGTGAAATTACAAAATACAAATGAGACGTTTTTCTATTCTTTATTAATGTCTGTGATTTTACCAATTAATCATACACTCAAAACAAAGAATAATTCAACCAACTTCGTGATTCTTGCATTTTGCATTAGTTCGATTCTATAAACGAAGATTACTTATGGTTTCCTTTGCAAAATAATTGATGAATCTTTTTATTTTGAAACATACAAAGATGTGACTAATATCTATATGAAGAGAATTTGTTGATTTTTTATCGTATATTTTCAACATGTCTGATAATATTTTTCATAAGAATCTAGTAGAACGTATTAAATCTATTTAAATTTCAAAGTTTTTTTTACAGTTAAAATTATTTTTGTCCTAATGTCAACGAAAGTTAATTTTAAAAAAACAAACATCCACAAAAAACCTAAATTTAACGTAGAACTTTAAACATTTTGGGAGAGTGTAAATATTACAAAAAATAAAAAATAACTTCTCGATTTACTTTCTATATAATAGATATATCGTAGAAATAAGTATTTTTCAGTCGTATACCATTAAATGAATTATATCAACTATTGAATATTAATGAATTCTTGAAATATAAAAATTTAATTTGTATTTTTTTATTTTTGAATTAAAAGAGAATAAGAGCAATGTTTTCTTCTCGTCGTCATCGTCTTCTTCTTTTTTTTCGACAGCTTTTTCTTTTCTTCTTTTGTTATTATTGTTTTTTATCAACGAGTTTCTGCTTTTTCCCCACTTATAACAAGAGGATCGCTTAGTGAATTTTTTTTGACAAACAAAACAGTTGACCAAACGCGTGTGTATTTTTTACCATGTCACACATTGTCGTTTTTATCGAATAGCTTTTCATTACTAATCTATAATGTTTTTTTTGTTCTCTTCTTCATCTTGGTAAACATACGATGGATTCGAAGAAATAAAAATATTGATTGAATCAAAAATTATTAACGATTTTATTTCTTGTTTGGTTCACTGAAGAAAAAAGACTTTTTAAAGTTTTATTAAAGAATGAATTCGTAAGTAAAAACGTTCTTTCCTTTTTGTTTTGATGGATATGATATCATGAGTTATTTACAATTTGAAAATGAAAAGTGCAATGGAAAGGATATACATACTTTGTTGAATGAGATAAAAAAAAGATCTTTTTTTTGAGAGAGAGAGAGAGAGAGAGAGATGGTCATATGCTATATCCTTTCATTAAATAGTTCATTATTTAAATTAATAAAGTCGTTGAATAATGGCTCATTAGAAGAAGAAGTCATTAAATTGGAGAATTATAAATTATAAATTTACTGTAAGTGGAATGCAAATTGAAAGTGGTGCTTGAAACTTTTATCTCAAAATTTTGTTTTTCTTTCTCAACGACCTAATTATCAGACGTAAATTATGGTTTCTTCTTAAATTCAAGTTTAAAATCAAGAATAATAATCTAGTCTATTTAACAGAGTGTACATCAACTCTAGATTAGTGATTAAATATCTACAATCTTCTTTTTCTTTGATGCAAACAATAAATATCACAAACAAGTCCATGAGTTAACGTTTCTTGAACATGACTCCAGTGGAACATCTCTTAAAATAGTCAACAAGAACGACTTTCAAAATTTATTGTTCATTTGAATAAAAAAAAAAATTCTTATGAAGTTTATGGCTTTTTATTATATGTAAAAATCATGCATTTTGTTCTTTAGTAAAAAGAAGACTAGTAGTGCTATTCGTCTACCAAGTTTATACTGTGAAATACTTATTAAATCTGAATTTGATTATCGACGTGAAATACGTCGTAAATTAGATCGAATTCAGCATGATAGTCGTGATTCAATGCGTCGTCATTTTGCTAATGATCATGTTTTTGCACATGATCTTTTAACAAAACGTCATCAATGGTTTACTATTGATAAATCATATCGAGATACATGTAGAGTAATGTGGAATCGACAAGCAACAGAATCAAAGCGAACAAGTCATTTATTTTTACCAAGTATTTATTCATCAGAAAATTCTCCACCAACAAAAATGACATTATCAAATACTAATAGCAGTGCCGATATAGAAGAAAACCCAACACTAGCTAATGAAAAAATTCACGAAGATTTTTTATACAAACAACCAGTGATGTTAGAAATTTTAGGTGCACCACATTCATCACAAGTATTAAAACATAAACAAGCAGTAGAATTAAGAAAACAAAGTGCTCTAAAACGACATGCTCATATTCAAACAACAGCAATAAATGATAATCGTTATAGACAACTTGTTCATTCATTACAAGAATCTTGAAAATTGATTTAAATTTTTTCTTCGATAAAAATTAAAACTAAAAGACATTTTCTCTGAAAAGACTTCAATCATATTTTAATACCAATATAAATATTCATATTAGTTTTAATTGTCTTGTCAAGACAAATATTAATATCATTCTTTGTTTTCAAAATTTACCAATCATAACTGATACGGAAAGGAAAGAAAAAAAAAAGAGTACAATATAGTATTGAATTTAAATAAATTGTAATTGAAATATTGTATAATATAGTTGATGTAACTAGCATCGTCAGTTTATCTGAGATGAACATTCATTGATATCTTATACTCATTTGTTTATTTGATATCTTACAGGAATAATATCTCAAATTACAAATCAATCATTGTAAAACTTAACTTTTCTGTTAAATATACTTTCACTTTCTTTCAGTTTATCTCAATAATATTCAATCAAAAATCAAATCGATAGACGAGATGATGAAAAGAAGTTGCCCATTCAAATCTTACTTCCATGAAACCAGCAACTAAACATACGATTGTGAACAAATGACGTCATACTGTGTAACGATCTGTTTCATTTTTTTTTCTTGTATACATTGTAACATTCTTTAACTTGTTACATACGTACAGGTAATTTTAATTGAAACATAAGGATAAATGACAATAGCCTAGAGCTCGTAAATCTTCATAAAAAAATATTCATTTATTTTTTGAACCCACCCTTCTGTAGTAAGATTGGACAACTATCATCAGATTATTTCAAAAGAACTACGCCCTAGTCGTTGTACGGAATATTATGATGATCGATTTCGTATTTCAATTAAAACCTATCAAATTCAAAATTCAAAACAGTTTATGATGGTTCAATTTTGTTTATCTTCATGACAGATTTTAAAACAGTAATTTCTTTTTCATCAACGCCAGTTTTGATAGAAACTAGATCTCTAGTGTAAGCGTATAGATCAGGTTTCACTTACTATAGTATTCCATTTTGTACAAAATTAATAATGTTGAGTTGAAGCCATTTCCAAGACACAGACAAAAGACTGCACAGAAACCGCTGTTACTTTCTACAGACATGACTTTGAACTTTTTCATAAAATTTACTGATAATTACTCAATGTTATCCTAGAATGAAACTCTGAGCACATATTCGGAAACATCACAAAACTCTGACTCCGACTATGTCTGGCTGTAATCAGTTGTCTTATAATGTCCGAAAAATGAAAGAATCTTTCGTGTCAAGACATTCGTGCTATAGATACTTCATCCGAATGCAATAACATTAATATAAAATTTTTCATAAGTTTTAATAGATAAAAAATCGCAAAGGAAAGTTTCGCTCTTACACAAAACGCACACAACTTGTTTCGTTTCAATGTAATGCGAAAAGAAAGAAAGAAAGAAAGAAAGAAAGTATAATAGAAAACAAAACACAACAACAAAAAAGACATAGCACATTGATTTGAACAAACAAAATGCCCAAAACATATGTTTGTATCTGTGCAATGTTCTTTTTTTTAATATCTTTTTATTTTATAACCAAAATCTGGTAATACGATCAACATTTGTTTTCTTTGGTGCCGTTGAATTCGTCATCGATGCTGGTGTTGAAGGTGCTATTGGTGTTGCAGGTAATTGAGGTAAACCAGCTGCAGCCATCATTGTTGTCATTAAATGTTGTTGCATCATAAACATCATCATTGAAGCAGCCATTGGATTAAACAATGGAGGATTGGGACCTGAAAAAACACTACTAAAATCGGGTACTGATGTTGGTGTTGCTATATTATTATGATTAATAATATAGTTATAATTTGTTTGTGGGCGACGAGTTTGTGCAGTTGTTGTTGTTGTTGTTGTTGTTGTTGCTGCGGATGATGGTGTTGATACAACCGATGGAACTTGATTTTGATTTTGACGAATTGAAGATAAATTACGAGACTAAAATTCAAATGATAGAAAAAAAAAGTGTGAAGTGAAAAACAAAATCGATTATTTACTTTTCGAGAACGATATAATGGTTTGTAGCACATTTGACTTCGTACACGTTTATTTGCAAACCATTTCTTAACTTGTTTTTGTGTTATACCTGCTTCACGAGCTAAACGATCAGTGCGTTCATCGTCAGGATATGGATAATCACGATTAGATTGAAACCAATGATTAAGTACAGTAACAGCTCGACTGCCAAGAAATCTATTTAATATTTAAATAAAATAAAAAAAAAACATGAATTTTTACTTGAAAATATTCTTCATTACCTTGTATTTCGACATTCTTTATCGTCAACAGGTGAATGTGATCGTTCTTGATTTATTGGTGATGAACATGTACTACTACTTGTACTTGGATGACGAATATGAGAATGTATTTGTTGAGATCGTAATGGTGTACTATGATAATGATGACGATTTCGTTCTATTAATACATGAATAACATATTCAATTCAAATGTTTAATTGTTTAAAAATAAAAATACATCATTAACTTTATTAGATAAGAGAAATTTTTTTAAATCGCTACTAAGGATAACTAAAGCCTTGTCTACAGAAAAAGAAAGGCCGGTGAGTATTTTTAAAATAACTTTGATAGAAACAAGATAGAGTATTGCGATTTTCACCATTGGAAAGAAGAAATGAAATGGTATCGAATCACATATTAGATGTTCTTTACTCAAAAGTATTGTTTTGTTTTCACAGCAACTACTGTTCTAAAGGTGAAAACTGAAGTTCTCTATTTGGCTTCTATCAAAACTTGTTAAAACATTATTTCTGCTGTTTGCTCATACATATGTTACCTTGTTTAACCATAGTCAAGTCATTATTTTCATCACTTGTATCTATGAAGCCACTATCATAAGTTCTTTTCTGAAAAAAAAAATAAAACTTCAATTAGTTGAGCAAGAATTTTTCATATAAAACTTACTTTTATATGAAAATTATTTGTTTGTTGATTATTATTAGTTGTAGTAATAGAATGTTGTTCATCTTCACTAGGTAGATATTCATCATCATCATCTTCATTTTCAATCGAAGGTGATAACAAATGTTGCGGTCGATTTGTTAAATCTAATGCATCAGGTTCTTGTTTAATTGTATATTTCATACGATTCATTCTATGTGTTATTTATTTATTTAAAACGTTGTTTGTTATTTAATAAAATGATGTAAAACAAAAAATGATTTTTTTAAACAATCTCGAATAAAGAGAGAGAGATAGAGAGAGAGAGAAATAATTTCAAAGAAGAATTTTATTTCTATTGAAAGTTAATGACAAATCATAATTGATATTACATCAATTATATATTGATCATTCTTACCTAATATATGTCAATATATATGTATATCGACTGACTGAAATATCAAAACAGCTGATGAGAAGAATGAAGAAAACAAAGAGATATTGTTGGTATATATGATATATTCGAAAGAGAAGAAGAATATACGAAGAAGAATAAACGAAGAATAAACAAGACCCTACTTGTATATGATGCTCACAACACGTGCCTCTCGATTGCGATATATGACTATAGCGAACTAGATCATATAAGGATTTATATCTCATGATTTTTCTTTCTATAGATCGATGTATACATATATATGTATTTTTCATTTCTGTCTTTCTATATTCTCTCATGCTCAGTTTATTCGTATTAAAACGATGTGTTAGATGGGATAGATTTATGAATCATCTTTATATAGAATTCTTAATATTATCTAGATAGTTCTTGTGTGTTTCGAATGATGTACATGAAACATTTCATAGTCATATCTTTCTAAGAAAAAGTGTTTGTCATATTTTGATCGAATCGTTTTGTCTATTTAATAAAGAAAAAAAAAGTAAAGTTGAGTAGTGATGATTGATGATTAGAGATAAAAGTGTTACTTATAAAATCAAATCTTTATTGATGTGATAAATAATTATGTAAAGAGGAGAACTTGAGAGATTATTAGTTTTCATCCAACGATGTTAATCGTGGTAAATCTTGTATTATTGTGAAAATAAAGTTCATTGGTCAATTTCTTAAAATCAAAATTTATCCATTGGTAAAAATATACTCTACTGTATTTGTCGATTTTTAATGAATGTGATTATTAACAGTGTTATCGGAAAATATTGTATGAAGATCAGCCTCGTGACTATGTCTGTTAAGAGTTCGGAGATCTTCTGGTAGCACAAACAGCTTTCTAAATAAAGCTCAAAGGTAGATAGCGAGAGTGAACTTGTGCACGGTTCCGTCACTAATCGCTTTATACTCGTGTTTACTTTACCAATTATAATTGTCACCGTTTAAAAATCAATTCATTAAAAATCGACAAATACAGTAGAGTATATTTTTACCAATGGATAAATTTTGATTTTAAGAAATTGAGCAATGAAGTTTATTTTTACAATAATATAAGATTTACTAGGATGAATATAG